ACCAATAATAATTATAGACACAAATTATCTTTATATATGTGTAAATTTATATATTTAAATACTGTATAAATACCTTTTAAAAATAATTTAAAAACTTTATAAAAACTTTGTAAACTTTTTAAAAACCCTATAAAACCTTATAAATGTCGTTTAGACCCTTTTAAAACCTTATAAATGTCGTTTAGACCTTTTTAAAACCTTATAAATATTTGGATTTAGTCTCCCAGTACTAATGATGATCTTGATATACCTTATCAACCGTATAAAAATTTATAATTTTTCATATTAAACAACAAGGAAACAAAAACATAATCACAGCCAACAAAACACTCATTCAGTTTCTAATACTAACCCTATAAACAAATACCTCACCCTTGATGATAGAAAAAAAGAAAAAAACATAACCCAATTAATATTAGCCACGTGGCTGGAAGGACGAGTGAAAAAAGTCTCGTTTTAAGAAACGTTTCTTTTGATTAATCGTATTTGTGTTTTATTTTTTGAACAATTATTCGGTGGGACGATGCATAACTACGGCGTTGCTCATGCTCTAAGAAACCAAGAAATGTGAAATTTGTTATGTTATTATATAAATTTTTAACATTCTACGAAATTGTAATTCACGAAATCTTGACACATTTCAATTAACTGATTATATTTGAATACATTATATAATATTTTCATCAAACAAAGCATATACTACTTAGTTGAGCCGGTAAATTTGGAAATTTGTTTCAGAATGAAATCATATGCTTTGTTTGATGAAAACGATACAAAAATGTGGCAACATCATCTTAACATGCTTTGAAGAGGTTACTGACCTTTGTATACATGAAAGCATGAAACCAAACCATAATAAAACATATTTTAGCAAAACACAAGAATCGACACAAACAAACATTAAATAACTAATAAGATCCTTCACAAACACACAATACAGATTAGTCTAATTAAGTGGTAGACAAATAGATATCCTAAACATAGACAAAGCATTTGGTAGAAAGAACTTCACAAGTCAATCTCTACGCCCATAAAACAAACAGAGCAAGTCATACAGAGTAGTAGACAACAAGACAGACATGCATGATAACCAAAACAGATAACCTAAAAGAGAGGATGGTTCTTGAAGGCGTTAAGAACTTCGCATTCGATCTCTACATCCAAAGCATCTTCACGGTCCAAAGCTTCTTGAAGTTTAGCCAAACATATATATAGAGGAAACCCATAGTCTTTGGTTGAGGGCAAGATCCAACCTCTCCCTACAAAACAGTACAAGCAATGTATGTAAATTGCATTACACAGTCAAAGGAGTAGGACATAATGAAACCAGCAATGATAATAAACAACTGTGTAAATAGTAACATCATTAGGTTTAGACTTACTCCATCCTGTTAGGTGATTGGATCCACGCGGGTCTAGAACCTTCAGATGTATTTGCACGCAAATCAGCTCACCCCGCGGTAAGATTTCACCGTCAGCTAAAAGCAAATTCATGGTCAAGTCGTCACCTTCTCTAGAGTGAGAGTCTCCCTTTGGATACAGCTTAAGAGTCCTGTGTAAAACATTAATCATCCACTTGTTAGCAAGTTACCACTAGAATGCAAACATATAACAATCAATATATCAGAAAAGATAAAAGAACAAACTTCTATAGACTCACACTCACCATTTCTTTTCTCCCATTGCAAAGGTTTTCGACACGTAATCATTCTGTTTCAGAACAGAGAAATCCCTAACCTTCCAAGAGAATTTGTGAAAAGGAAGTGTCTCACCAAACGAGACAGGTGATGGAACAACCACCACATGAGCACCAAACTTACATTCCCCATGCCAGTTAAAACCATCTTCAGTGTCATTGAACTTTTCAAGTGGAAGCATTTGAGATACTCCCCACACAGTTTTTGATGAATCAAACCTCTTCACCTCCACATCTACATGGATATACACATATTACTGATTCATCCATACACATATTACTGATTCATCCATATAGAGAGAAATAGATATAGATAAGTAAGGGTATGTGCATACGAACCTTGAACTGAGAAGTACTTGTTCTCTTTCATGTTAAACACAAAGAAAGAGAGATAAGCAAAGACCTCCTTGGGTGGTGTTGTTGTCGATGAGAAGCAGCTCTTGTCAAGTTCCACATACATTGACACAAAGCCCTTTCCATTATCTTCTTCGTTTCCTTGAGGGTAAACAATCATTCTCCTGATTTCATTTGTTGAAAACATAGATGGGTTAGAAAAAGACAACATTTTTCTTACTTATAGTGATGAAAGGTATGAACTTTAGTCTAGAACAAGGTCACAAAAGGTATGAACTTTAGTGTAGAACAAGGTCACAAAAGGTATGAACTTTAGTCTAGAACAAGGTCACAAATGGTATGTAACTTAGTTTTAGAACAAAGATCACATTTTTCTTACTTATAGTGATGAAAGGTATGCACTTTAGTGTAGAACAAGGTCACAAAAGGTATGTAATTTAGTTTAGAACAAAGATCACATACCAGCTGTGTCTACCGGACGAGAAAAGAGGGGACTCGTATTTGGTGTTGTTGATAGCAGTAAGCTAGTGTTGAATGAAAAGTCCATTAGCCCATGATATTATAAGAGTTTTATTCATTAGAAATTCATATAAATTTCTATTTAAGAACACTATAAAATAAGGCCATGGAGCTTACTCATATGTGCTTTGCGGATGACATTATGATCTTCACGGATAGGAAACCCTCTTTTTTGGAGGGGATTTTAGAGGTTTTTAAGGACTTTGCATCAATGTCAGGGCTAAGGTTATCTCCAACGGTTATACCATGCTAGAGATGCTAAAAAAACAAATTAATAATTTTTTACTTATATAATTATGATTTAATTTTTTAATAAAATTGGACCATTCACAAAGGTACATATATACTTTGTCAGAGAAATAGTGTTAGAGCATCCTCAATGCATAAGCTTTAAAAATGAATCTTAAGATTTTTTTAATAATTTAATTGAAAAAAGTGGATCTTATAATTTCTTTAGTACCTTATATAAGGTACCCTATCTTATATATATGGTTGAATTATGTATTAAATTTTAATTAAAATTAGCTAAGGATCAAGCTAAGATTCAGCATTGAGGATGGTCTTAGACCATGATTATCAAGGGTTTCTTAGAAAACTCTTAAGCTAAGAAAAGTGATGAAAAACTAAGAAAAGTTAATATATGTCTCTTGCATAAGAGACTTCTTTTACCTTTTCTTAACTTTTTTAGCCTAAGATTTTACTAAAAACCTACCAATAATTATGCTCTTAGCACCCGATTCTTTAAATTAGTACTTCTAGAGTGTTTTTATTTTCTCTTTCTTATTTTTTTTTCTATTTTACATTTTTCTTTTTGTTAACACCCTTGCTAAGCATCCCTTGTTGGAGATGCCCTAAGCATAAGCTTAGAGAAATCAACGCTTTTCTTGGCTGGAGTCTACGGCTCTAATAGAGCAGCTATTCTTGCTCGCTTCCCTTTTGCTTGCGATACTTTGCATGTGCGCTATTTAGGCTTACCTTTGCTTACTAAGCGGATGTCTCTGGATGATTGTCTCCCTCTTCTTAAACGTATTAGACAACGGATAACCTCCTGGAAGAGTCGCTTTCTCTCCTTTGCCTTCAACTTTTAGATTTGGTAATTGTAAGTCTTACAAATTTTTGGATTTCAGCTTTTCGGTAACCGAGCGCTTGTGTTCAGGAGAAAGAGAGAATTTGTTCCGCTTTTCTTTCGTCTGGGCCAGAGCTAAATGCGAGGAAAAATAAGATTGCTTGGAAGGATGTGTGTGCTCCTAAATATGAAGGGGGGGGGGGTTTGGGGTTGAAATCATTGGCTGAAACAAATAAAATGAGCTGCTTTAAGTTAATTTGGAGAATAATTTCTGGTACAAACTCTTTGTGGGTGAACTATATTCAAAGGGAGCTCCTCCGGTCGGCTTCTTTCTCGTCTATATGTGGTAATACGACAAAAGGAAGTTGGATGTGGAAGAAATTGCTTAAATACAGATCTCATGCTGGGGATTTTGCTCTGATGCATGTAAGGAGTGGCTTACAAACATCTTTTTGGATTTTGCTCTGATGCATGTAAGGAGTGGCTTACAAACAGCATATAATATTGTACCAAGGACTTTTTTTGGGTTAAATATAATTTTACATTCAATCAAATAATAATAATAATAATAATTTAGAGAGTCACCATTTGGAGCGGTTCTTATTTTTATGGTATACAATAAAAGAATTTACTAAGCTTGGTATTCATCAATTTATATTCCCTCTTATAGTTTCTTTTCACAATAGTTATTTAGATATTCGTTTTTCCTTAATTCACTAATTTTCATTTATATTTTTAAATTATTTTGAAATTTTTACAATAATTTAATAAAGTTAAATTATCACCAAAATATTTACCAAATATTCATAATTATAAATATTTTTAAACCTCAAAATATGTGGTATCTCAATCCCGACTAAAATATGATTATACAATTTCTTCATATTATGATTTACATGCAAACCACCGGTTAAATCTTCATCTTATTACATTATAACAAATATATCATCTACTTTACCACTACTGTTTTCTTACACCTTATAATCATATCTTACTTTTAAAGCATTTTCTTTACCACCACCTAAAATATGTTTCAAATGCATTAAGTCAAGTCAATTATGTTATTTCCTTTCACTTTTGCATAATATAATTTTTTTATTTGTGTTGTAAATTTGTAATCTTAGATTCGATAAATTAACAACACATTTCAATATCACAAATCAATAACTTGGCAAATATAACGATCATGTTAATGACTAATATTGACAAAACAAACTTTACATAATTTTTTTTGTTAATTTTTGTTTTATATACTTTTGACACGTTTTAACAATATTTCAATTAAAAAAAAAAACTTGCTAAGTTTGGTGTTCTTCAATTTATATTCTCCTCTTATAGTTTCTTTGCACAATAAAGCTCTTCATGAGCCATCTGTTGTAAACTAGAGAGAATATAAAAAAGGAATTCGTGTGTATATTTATTCATAAGTTATGAATCCATTATATAAGGATGAATACAACCAAAAACTAATACAATTACGAGAAGAGTTTAGCCGCCTAGCAAACAGATGGACCGGACTTGGTGATGGGTTTGACTGGACTAATTGATTTATGGACCGGACCGGGCTTGTTATGACAGTCCACCATTTGGTTTACTCAACAGCAAACACTACAAAAAATTGGGTGTATGTGACTTTACGGTTCATAAAAGCTTAATCAAACAAATTTCAATCACGTTAGGGTCAATCACAACTACAGTTTTCTGAAAGTAAACACTCTAGATCAGCGTATAGCACCGCACTGTTAAACCTAGAGCTACGAATCACGTGTACACAACAACCCTTGTGTTATAAGCTTCAAACGATCCATAGTTACAAACCAACAAAAACTAAGCAAGGTTTTGATGATACCAAAAAACCCATCCGCCCTAAGAGTTATACAGCAAAATCAGGCACTAAAACTAAAATGTTCACATAATTTTAAGAAGATGGAAAACACAAAGGGGGAAGACGATAGAAGAGAAAGAAGATCGATTTCGTGTTTTACCTAGCTCGCTTCAACATCTGCTGAAGATACTCCTACAAATTGTGGACACACTCTCAATGTTTGTTGAAAGCCAATTTGATGGAGGTGAATTTGTAACGAAAAACCTTGGGAAGAGTAAGAGGTATGATCTTAAATAATAAGAGTAAAGGTTAAGCGTTGTGGTTGTTTTTAAAGGATTCTAGTGATGATGACATGGCAAATTATGAGGAAATGTTGAGAAGCTGAGGTGAATAGCTTAAGGAGCCTTGAAACCTCTCTTATTAGTAAGTAATTTTTTTTAATTAATTGAAGTATATAATTTATGCACAAGTCAAACCTTTTAGTACGTAGTTGTATACAATAAGATAATTTTTTCCATTATATTAAAAACACTAAAATAAGTAAAGCCTATTCATCTAGAGAAAAGGAAAAAAAAACTAAACTAATCCTCCTAATAAGACAAGGATTATGATTAGGGGATCGTAAAACTATATAAATAGAGCACTTACGTGACATATTTTTTCCACCAAAACATTCATCTATACTTCTCTTCTTCTTCCGATGCATACGATCCGAACCATGGCCACGAAGAAGATCTTTGTCTTTATGACTGTGATCATGTTTCTCTTAAGTTGCACCTCAGCTAAAACGTACAAAGTCGGAGGTTCCAACTATGGATGGACTGTGAAGGACGACTCTTGGGCTGAACATAAACAATTCCACGTTGGAGATTCCCTCATCTTCCAATACGATAAGAACGTCAACGACCTTGCTCAAGTTTCCAACGCTAAAGAGTATATGTCATGCGATGTTTCTTCTCCTAAAGTTGTTTACAACACCGGACACGATGTCGTAACCTTCAAGGAACCAGGACATTACTACTTCATCACCTCTAATCATATTCAATGCGTCAATGGACTTAAACTCGACGTTCTTGTCGTCCATGAACCTTCACGTCCTACTCCTCCACCACCTAGCAAGAACCATGAACCATCACATCCTACTCCTCCACCACCACCTAGCAAGAACCAAGGCCCTTCACGTCAAAGTCCTCCTCCACCATCAAGCAAGAACCATGAACCCTCACGTCCAAGTCCTCCTTCACCACCACCGAGCAAGAACCAAGGCCCTTCACGTCCAAGTCCTCCTCCACCACCACCAAGCGAGAACCAAGGACCGTCACGTGAGATTCCTACACCAACACCGAGCAAGAGAGGAAGGATCTACAAGGTAGGTGATTCCAAAGGATGGAGCGTGTACAACAGTTACTACTACTACAGGTGGAGTGAAACTAAACAGTTCCGTGTTGGAGATACTCTCTATTTCGAATACAACAAGAACCTCAATGACGTTAGAGAAATAAGCGATGATCTTGAGTTCAGATCATGTGAACCAACTTCTGCCGTAGCTGTGTACAAGACAGGACATGATCTCATCAAGCTTACAAAACCAGGAGTGCATTACTTTGTAAGCTTAAAGACAGGTCTTTGTCAGGCTGGGATTAAGCTTCGAGTCAACGTGCTACCATCAACAGAAGACGATACTACTCTGCCTAATGTTCCCAAGATTAACCGCTGCAACAGGTGGTCGTGGTGGTTATGCCTTTTAAGACCTAATCACTAAGCATAGAGATTATTGGTTTTAAGGTTTTTTCTTGTGTTTTATTAAGAGGTTTTGGTTTTAATTTTATTTAGTCGTTTCGTGTGGTTGAAATACATTGTTTCAGTTATTTTTCTTATATTTTCGTCGTTTATAATTTTGATGATGAGAATGCCCATAGTGTAATAAACATGAACATTTCATTTTGTTTCATGCTTCTATGCCTTGTTTCGACAATACACATCTTTGTGGACTTAGAAAAAAAAAGTGCAAAAAATTGTGTTATTTACGACTATTGAATTCTAAGTGAAATCTCTGATACACTATGATTTGCCATATAGCATTAATTTGACTCAAAACGATTTGAGGTTTACCTTAACAGAAGAAGTCAATAAGAGATTAATGCTAAATTTCACATAGAAGTTTAGTAAACTGATAAGTAGGAGATAAACCAAACCATGATAAAACAGGTCAACACACAACACAAAGCTGAAATAACTAAAAAGATCCTTAATAAACGCATACAACAGAACAGACTAGTCATATTCGATCTCTACGCATAATAGAAAGGGGTGGTTTTTGATGGTGTTTGATCATCGACTACATGATCAAAGAGTGCTCATCATTCTTGACGATGTAGATGATCTAGAGAAATTGGAGGTATTGGCTGATGAACTTTCTTGGTTCGGTCATGGAAGTCGGATCATCTTTACCACTGAAGATAAGCATGGGATTCATGATATCTACAAGGTGGATAGTCCGTCCATAGAAGAAGCTCTGGAGATCTTATGTCTCTCTGCATTCAAACAAACTTCTATACAAGATGGCTTTGAAGAGGTTGCCATATAAAGTAGCTGAGCCTTGCGGCTACCTCCCATTAGGCCTTTGTGTCGTGGGTTCATCTTTGCGTGGGCAGAGCAAGCAAAAGTGGGAACGTCAATTATCTAGGATCGAAGCTAGTCTTGATGGAAAAATTGAGACTTGTTTCTTTGTAGTATAAGAAACAAAGGAGGTGTTACAGTCAACAATTTGGAATGGCATACATCACTGTATTTTAAGTCAAAACATCTGGTCATATGTCATGGTGACTTGCTTCGCCAACGAAGCGGATGCCATGAAGTGGATGTGACTATGAGCGAGATTACATTTGAGTTCAACCACAAGTACGAAGGTGACAAGATTATTGAGTGCGGTGTACAGATCTTGACAGAGGAAGCTGAGGGTAGCAGCAGCAGCAGCGAAGTGGACAACAACAATCACAACATAGATGGAGATGGAGACTATGAAGAAGAAGGTTTCAAATTCTCCCAAGATGAAAACATCAAAACCAGTAAACATACAGGTTTTAGGAGTTGGCTTAGGAAGCTTGGTCTCTAAAAGAAGAAGATGAATATGACGGAGCAGAGTTCTCGCAGAATCTCATGATAAGACCAAACCAGTTTTTATATATATATATAAGAGAGGGAGGATTGATGAAATTTGAAAACATCATTGGTTGTTGGATTTAGGTTGGGAAACTTAATCTTTAAGGTTGTAGATTTGAGTCAGGGGAAGAAGATACTTGTTGCCTTGAGGGTATATTTGTAATTTACTAACTATTAGTTATGCATTTGATTAACGATCACTGATTCTGAGCATTAGCGCCATTACTGATTCTGGTCGCTTAGGTCTTCCCATTAACGATCATAAGTATTTGGCATACACTACAGACCAGTTTCCTTTAGAAGATGTATTGCTCTGTTCTGTAGTCCGTTGCGATACTTGGACCCTTAGGGATTCTGATCTCGAATGGAAAGGAGCTGCTTCATTTGTGTTCATTAAAAAAGCTGTAACCAAGGTTTTTCTAGTTTAGCTGATATTCATTTAGATACATGGATTCTTAGTACAATCTTTTGTGTATTCAAACACTAAATTCATATCTAAGCTAAATTTATAAGTTGATGGGTTGATAATGATTATATATAATGGATATCGTAACACATTAGAGTAGACAGTAGGAGAAAACTAGGACTTAAAAAATATATACAGTATGTGCAAAATTGTGTTGTGCCTTCAATAACCTGTACTGATTGGTGAACAAAAGACAAAGCTTATCCATCCGAATTTTTGTCATTACAAGGTTATGCATGATTGAATCCTTGCACAATTGTTTAGATAACACCGTTTGGTTGAGACAACAAAAGCAATGCATTGGCTTCATTGCTTTGGAGCAGTGCCTTCTATTGTGAGCATAAAAGGAAAAACCCATAAAAGAAGGTTGATAGCATTGGAGAAAATAGAAGCATTGCAGCTCACACTGTGCATTGAGAAGTAGGCATGGGGCAAAATATTCATTAGATTCGCTTCGTTTCGATTCGATTCGAAAAATTCAAATATCTATAAGATATTGAAGCGAAGCAAATATGAAAATGTAGTATTCGTAAAAACCAAAGCAAATAACAAATATTGATTTTTTAATGTCGAATATCCGCTTCGCTTCGTGTATATATATATGTATAAATATAAATCATTATATAATATGTGTATTTATAGATTTGGATTTATATCTAACAGGCCTATTATTCAAATTATTATATTTGGGCATGTTGGGCTTTTTGCTAAATGTTGTTCTTAAGCAAATAACATTTTTATTAGAAAAATCAGTATTAAAAATAAAATTTGAGAATCCTATGGACGGTGGTTACATTTCCTTCTTATTTTGAAAACATGTCAAACAAAAACCTCTAATATCTCATATTTTGCACTTTATGTTTATGTACTATGTGTTTTTAGTTTCAAAAAATTTAGATGAGTCGAAGCGAAGCGAATAATTCGCGAATAAAAAAATAGTAAATTTGCTCTTTGGAAAGTTTGATATGTATAATATGATACATGTACATATATCTGTACAATGCTTATAATGAGTTTTGTTTTTAGAAAGTTTGATATGTACAATTTGATACATGCACAGATAGTAAACAACTGTACATATATATACATTATGTTATATGTAGATACAAATATATGTACGTGTATGTGTACAATAGGATACATGTACAGTATATATAAAAATATATTTGAGGTTATCAGGTAAAAAAATAGATTTTTATCTACTTAAAATTTTTTAGAAAACAAACATCAATTGACTAGTATATTATTTATTAGATTGAAAAGATAAACATAATAAATAATTAATAAATAGAAAAAAGCAAAAAAAAAATAAAAATGATTTCTTTAGGACAAAAAATGGTTTGTTTTTTATTCATTTAGGATGACATTTCTCTTTCTTCTCTCTCTCACAACTGCTATATCTCATAGTTGGGTCGTACAATGTTAAATGTGTATTTATCCAATTGTAAATAGTACATATACTACTTTCCTAATTAAGTTCTGAAAATGTACTAAAAATGCCAATATTGATTTTATTATATTTGTGGACCAAATCATTAACAGGTTAAATAAATCAGTACTAATAACACAACCTAACAACTAATAAGTTATACATTTCAGAAGCAAAAATTATCAGCTTCGAAGGCAGAGAGCTGAGATAAACCGTCAAGAATCTCAGATCCAAGCAGTTGTTGGAGGCAGCCAAATAGCACTGAATTTACCGCCTGATTCTGGAGCCAACTTCGTTGATGAGTCTGATCAGAGTGAGGCTCCGTCTATCTCCATCTAATGTCATTTTAGAAGTGATGATAGTTGTGAAAAGTGTGAATGATCATGTGTGTGTGTGTGTGTGTGTGTGTGTGTGTGTGTGTGTGTGTCTGTGATGACATCTAGGTGCGGGAATACCAGTGGAGGATCTGGCTAAAATGATGGGAACTATAAGGCTGAGCCGTCTGAAACATATGGCTAGGACATTGAATAAGCCTTGTACTAATGGTGCAGAGTCAAGTAACACATGAGCAACAGATGCAAATACAAGATGTAATAAAGCTAGCTAATTTATATATATAACAACATATATTCAGAGAGAGAGAGAGAGAGAGATCTAACTTGATTAAGGCTACGTCAATGGATAGGTGCAATGTCAAGTGGGCTACTTTTAAGTCACGCCAATGTATTTTTTAAGATTTATAAACCGCTTATATATATTTTTGACTAAACATAAATTGCTAACGAAAAATTAATCATGTTATCATCTCAGTAACATAATTATAGTGGTGTGTATGAAACGACAAAGCTAATAAAACTATATTTTAACGGTGTGTATGAAATGACAAAGCCAATTCAAGCTAAACTTTGAGAAACATTTCAAAATGTCATACTTTTCGGTCTTAAATTTAAAGAGTTATGCTTTATCCTAATTTTCTCGTTTTAAATCTAACTAATTTATATTTAAATAGGGTTTAATGTTTAAATGGGATTGATTCACCTAATTTAAGATTCCTAGCTGCACTCAGTGCCACATCATTCCAAAAACCTACAAAGACGTCATTACTCATTTAGTATGCAAAGAAGTCATTACTCATTTAGTATGAGTTAATATTTGGTGTTGTTTAATTTCCAAGTGAGAAAGAATAGAGCTTTGAGAGGAATAGTGATCTATATAGATAAAATAATTTTATAAAACACAGAGAATTATTATATCAGATAATGGTGAAAAGCTAAGTATCAAAACCTCTTTCATAGGTTTTTCTCTACTAATGGGTTTCCAAATAAATAGGTTACTAAAGGTAAATAAACTACCATATATACAAATAATTCATTTACAATCATGAAGATGATTCAAAGACTATACTGTATAAGGGTTGTTAACAACAAAGAGTATTGTAAAGAAAAGTTTAAGCTTTATAAAATTTTTAAACTTTTAAAAATGTTTAAAATATTATAAAATATAAATTTTAATATATATATATATTATAAATATTTAAACTTTATTAAAAATTTACGTGTTGTTAATATTTTAACTCTATAGAAAGTTTAAAATAAAATATTATTGACGATTCCATAAGTTTAACATGAGTTTGGTTTTTAGAAAGTTTGATATGAACAATTTGATACATGCACAGCTAGTAAACAACTGTACATATATATATATA